TTGTTCCCCCCCCCCAACACCTGCCGCCGGGGGGCAAACCGGTGGCGAGGCGGTGGACCCCCCGGATGGCGGCGGGGGAATGCGTTACGGCGTCCTCCATGTCCGCCGTCCGGGGGGGACCTCTGTGGGTTGGAGGGGGGAGCGTTGGGGACGCTCCTCCCTCGTGTCACAACCCACGGGGAAGGTTGGGATGCAAGCGCGGTCCTTGCATCCCATCGGGAGAAGGGGGCCCTTATCGCTCATCCCATATCGGGATGAGGGATGGGGCCCACCCCCCCTAAAAAAGGGGGGACGCACTGAGGCCCGCCAACGACAACGGCGGGCCGCGTGCGGGGGGCGGTATACAGATGAAATGACTCTGTCAAACCCTGGCCGCCCCCCAATTATAAAGCACAGCGCAGACCGCCGCAGGGGTTTAGTGGGTACGCCGCGCACCCGACATGTTTGTCGGGTGCACTCCGATCGACATTAGGAGGGCAGTCCCACATAACCAGGGTCCCACCCCAGGGAAGGTTTACCTTACGAGGACCTCCCCGGGACCCTGGTATCCATAAAGGATTCCCCTGCGTAACCAATAAAAAAAAAGCTAATCAACGTCTCGTGCGCTCGGATGTGGATTGGCTAGTGCTGGTTTCCCTAGCCAAGTTCCGCCGCGCGACTACGTTACCGCGTCCAGTGGGCAGGAGCCATGAGACACTACCGTGTCTCTCGTGATTTCAGTGCTTATCCCGCGTAGCCATTGTCGTTAGAGGAAAATAGCAAGCAGCTACACTGTCGACCGAAAGGTCGACGTTTCTGTAAAGGAGAATATCTGTGTCAAGTGAGTTTTGTGTAAACCATAAAAGAGGTAAGGAAATATCATGTGATAATAATAATAAATTCCTCTTCTTGTAAAAAACTAAGGGTAATTATTTAAAATACGGGCACTATCTTGAATATCGAGAAAATTATGCTTATTGGACGAGTTTTGACACGAAACGAAAGAATCTGGCAGAAAAATGTGGCCGTCTGCCTCGTGAAACGAGATATCCCAGTCAGAAATTACTCGCCGATCGACGTCAATATGGCGGTTTCGATGTCGACGCGACATCGTTTCGACGTCGATCGACGAGTTATTTCTGTACGGAAATTCTGTAACTTGCAATTGACGCTTTTCGGTATCGTTAACTGGCGACAGCCAATGGCGAGGACGATCTTCGAAAGAGACAGGCAGATTTTCATTGGTTGCTTCTAGTTAACGTTATCGAATAACCTCGATAGCAAGTTAGAGAATTCCCGTACTGGCTCGGATTAATCGTTAAAGTCAACGACTTAACAGGTTACGAATATATTTTCTGCTTTAACCAAGTATAAATACAAAGTATATTTTTAGTTAAAGCGGAGAATATATTCGTAACCTGTTAAGTCGTCGATTTTAACGATTAATGTCTCATTTCACGAGGCAGAACGTCGCAATCCATAACATAGAAGATAGACCCAGTATACGTGTTCCCAACGTGTCACGAACATGACAGACAGAGAGGCAAAATAGAGTGGCCGCTGGAGGCATGAGAGGGAGCGAGAGACAAAATATTGTCTTGTGCAATGTTTGTCTCTCGCTCCCTCTCATGCCCCCTGCGGCCACTCTATTTTGCCTCTCTGTCTGTTATGTTCGTGACAACTTTTCTTAAGAAGATGAACGGGCATGCTGGGTCTATCTTCTATGTCTATGGGTAGTGCCCATATTCTAAATCATTACCAAACTAAGAAAATGTTCAAAAATAATTATAACAAATACGTTTCATTCTGCAGCATGTCGGAGCCACAAAAGAACAAACCACTGTTTGCTTTAATTCAGTGGATTGGTGGAAAAGATGCTGGAAAGTACACAACTGATGTACCCATTGAATGGATAAAAGATTTCGAGTACGAAGATTTTGTAACCAGTAATCCCGATGATGAAGAGTCTTATGTAATAGAGTGGCATGAAGGAAAGAAACTACCATTGGGAGGTTGGACTTGTTATGACGGTAAAGTCATTGAAGTATCAGGTAACATTTATGCTTTTCATGATATATATATATATATATATATATATATATATAATTTTTTCATAAATGTATTGTTTTTCTCATCTAATTTTAAGTAGAGAACAATTATTCGAAATTAATGTAATATTTGATGTAGTAACGGATATGAATGAAATGAAATTTTTTACATTTTTTAATGAAAAATTAAAATAAAATCATACCTTAGCCAAGGATTTATGTCATATAAATAGTGTAAAGAAGTAAAAATTTCAATTTTTATTGTTAATATTTCACGATTAACTCTCAAAATGAAATTTGAAAATTCCCAAGAGGTCTTAGGGGTCATTCCACTTTAATGGTCCAAAAACTATGCTTATCTTTAACAATTTTTTTCACAGTACACCATACAATTAAATAAATCTTTTTGGGATGTATTAGGGCACTTTAAATAATACAAAAAAATGTTTGCCATAATTTTAAAATTTTTTAATCAAGCGTTTTCTACACCGTTCGAATGACGTATCAAGAAAGATGCAAGTCCGCTGCGGTGATGACTTTTATCATTCAGGCTTACCTGAAACAAAAATCAAAAAGATTCTTTAATCTATATGAATGTCGCTATGTCCCGAACTTCAATTAAGAATTTTTATTTAAAAATAACAAAATGGTACCACTTTGAATAAAGTTTTGAAAAGTACTTTTTAATTGAGATTCGGGACATAGCGACACTCATGTAGACTAAGAATCTTTTTGATTTTTGTTTCAGGTAAGTCTGAATGATAAAAGTCATCAACGCAGCAGACTTGTATCTTTTTTTGACACGTCATTCGAACGATGTAGAAAACGCTTAAATAAAAACTTGTTAAAATTATCACAAACATTTTTTTGTATTATTTAAAGTGCCCTAATACATCCCAAAAAGATTTATTTCATTGTATGGTGTATTTACTGTGAAAAAATTGTTAAAGATAAGCATAGTTTTTAGGCCGTTAAAGTGGAATGACCCCTTAAAATTAAAAATCTAGAAAAAGTAATATAAAAACAATAGAATCAGTATTATGTTTAATGAATTACTTTTCTCATAAAATTCATTTTTCATAAGATTATATAATTTAAAAAATTCCAAAATATATAATCCTAAATCTGTATCTATGACTTTGAGGTGGAAAATAAAATTGTGATACAAAATAAAACAGAAGTTACAAATATCATTTCTAATGATTATTCATCTATCAGAAGTATAGTTGTTGAGGCGAGCCTCTCCTTGTTTCGTGGGCTCGTCTAGAGGCGCCGTATATGAATAGGCACCTGCTTATTTCCGAAGGTGTCGGGGTGATTAACGGACTCACGCGTGCAATTTAGACAGACTTTTTTCAGCGTTAGCTCTTCGCGTGGCACCTTCACGTCGGTTGCCGTACAAGACTATATCACTCTAGCGCCCGGAAGCGCCCAACAGTCTCGGTGAACGAAGCGCCGCCACCGAGCCGACCAATCAGCACGCAGCTGAACCAGTCTTATAGAACGCATCAAGAGCGTGAAACACAAATACAGAAAACGCCGATACACCGCCGCCCTTGAAAGCCTCAGGTTTCAACTGTATATGCATGTGCAAAGGCAAAAAAACAAAATATGAGGATGAATTTAAATAGTGCACGCGTTCCACAATTTGACGCTTCAGCGAGTCAAGCACCATGGCCTTTACACATCATAACGCTTATTAACTATAAATAACGCAAACGGTAGTGACTATAACGTAGTGAGATATATGTTATGAAGAACTTATGTATTTAGATCGGTTGGCAACACAGATAACTTGGTCAAGGGTCGAGCAATCAATCCGTGATTAGTTTTAATAACTGCCGATCGGACGATGCCATCGGCACTCTCGTTAACACTTTCGATGCGACCTAACAACCATTGAAATAGCGCCAAACCCGGTTTTTGAACCAAAACTACTTGTCCAGCCTTGATTTTTTTCCCTTTATTCATTCTCCACTTTGATCTACCCTGCAATTGGTTTAGATACTCAAGGCTCCACCTCTGCCAAAAATGCTGTCTCAATTGCTCGACCCTTTGCCAACGCGAAAGACGATTGATTTTGGTAAGAGTAATATCCGGGTGAGCATAACTGTTTAACGCATCTCCTATCAAAAAATGACCGGGAGTCAATGGGCGCAGGTCGTTCGGATCGTTCGATAATTGACTGATGGGACGGGAATTCAATATAGCCTCGATTTCCGCGAGTACCGTCGTCATTTCGTCATAATTTAATGCTGCATCCCCGATTATCCTTTTCATATGATATTTCGCCGACTTTATGGCGGCCTCCCAAAGTCCCCCGAAATGGGGCGCGTTTGGTGGAATATTTCTCCATTCTATTCTATGCTCGACAAAAAATTCGTTTATCTTATGCTGTATCTGTTCCTTGATAAAGAAATCGTGTAATTCGTTAAGCTCCCTAGCGGCTCCCACGAAATTTGTTCCGTTGTCGGAGTGCATACACGCGACCTTGCCCCTTCTCGCTATGAATCGCTTAAGAGCTCCCATAAAGGACTCAGAAGATAAATCGGCAACTAACTCTATATGCACCGCCTTAGTGGCGAAGCAAACAAAGATACAAATATACGCCTTGCTTAGTTTCGCGTTACGCCTCTTATGTTCTCTAATGAGGAACGGGCCTCCGAAGTCGACTCCGCAATGCGTGAATGGCCTTGATATTTGAACTCGCGATTTGGGGAGATCGCTCATAGTAGCTTCAGGCACAGAAGGCTTAGCCTTCCAACATACTGTGCATTTGTTTATAACATCTCGAGTGGTGGCCTTTGCCGCTATAGGCCAGAACTGACTTCTAACTGCGTATAGAGTCGCTTGAACTCCGGCATGCATATTTCTAACATGTTCGTTTCGGATAATGAGCCTTGTAATCGCGTGGCCCTTAGGCAACAATAATGGATGTTTTGATTCGTATGCTAAATTCGCGTTCTTCAAACGCCCGCCTACCCGTAGTATATGTTCGTCGTCGAGAAACGGATTTAATGGCAATAACCTGCTGTTGGTAGGTAGAGATTTCGACTTTTCGAGCTGCCTTATATCGCTGCCAAATTCCTGCCGCTGCACGAATTTGCATAAAAAAATGTAACGCTGCTTCATATTCCTTCGGTGCTATTGTCGCATTCCTACTCCTATTCTTGCATGTGGCCTTACAATTATTAATGAATCGAAACATATACGCTACCACTCGTACTAACTTCTGAATTTTTGAATATTTGGCAATCAAGGCATCCAACATTGATGATTCCGATTTTATTACAACGGTATTCGCTAGTAGTTCCGGTAATGCATTGCTCTGAACTGACGATTTGGGCCAATCCTCCACGTCTAACTTTAGCCAACCAGGCCCTTCCCACCAAAGTGCTAAATTAATAACTTCCGAAGGGCCTGCCCCCCGAGAAATTATATCCGCGGGATTTGATTTGGTATCTATATGCCTCCAATCTTCCACTTCTGTCAATCTTTGAATTTCGCCAACTCGGTTGGCTATGAATATTTCCCATTTGCGCGAGAAGGCCCTTATCCAGGACAGTGCTATCATCGAGTCAGTCCATAGGAACTTCTTGATGTTTGGAATTTTTATGGACTTGATCACCTTTTCTTGTAATCGAGCCAACAATACTGCCGCACAAAGCTCAAGGCGGGGAAGCGAGACCGCCTTCATCGGAGCCACTCTTGATTTTGATATCAATAGCTTAGTTTCGTAATTTCCAGCTATGTTTCGAGTCCTAATATAGCAACACGCGCCATACGCTGATTGACTGGCATCCGCAAATCCATGTAATTGTATTTCTTCCGCATTTGCTTCAGAAAAGATGAACCTTCCAATCTTCAGCTCGTTTATGCTGGGCAGCTGCGATTTGAATTGTTTCCACTGCGTGTGTATATTCATAGGGACGGCTGAGTCCCAATCTATTTGATTTTTCCATACTCCAATCCAACTCCTGGATTAGAAGTTTTGCTGTAAGTATAACAGGACCTAAGAGACCCAACGGATCAAATAATTGAGAAATTTCGGCAAGCATTATCCTCTTGGTAATCTTGTAGTTTGTTGTGTTGACGTTGATTGTGAACTTGAATGCATCTTCTGAAGAATCCCACTGCATACCGAGTATCCGAGATTCTTGTCAATTGTGACATT